ACAGGCTAAGTATTGCTTCCCCTGACAAAGGACAGGAGGGGGACATGAAAGTATTTAAATTTTACTAGTCCATTATTATGAGCAGTTAATAGTACCTTTTCTACGTCCTCCAAAGAATGCATTCTTTGGCATGCGGAAGAGGCTTGAGAGAGGTGTGGTCCCTTCTCTCTTACACGCTGGGATATAGGGATGGTAAGAAGCAATGATAGGTTCTCTTCTTGCCCACAAAGAGTCTCCTATGTCCTTATCTTATGGAAATGAGACCTTTGGCGAAGGGATTACTGCTTCTTACTGTGTTCACCAGAATGTTTAAAGCTGGCAAGTGGATTGCTGGCTGTCAGCTGAATAGGATAACTTTTCTTGATAGACCTGTGCAGGTGATGCTTCAGCAAACCAAATTCAGCCCTCCAGTATAGCCTGTCCAAAGGGTGAAAAGTTTGCCTTTTTGGCCTACGGTTCTCAGAATCCCCCCTCCCCCTTAAATCTGGCTAGAAGATTCTGGGAACTACAATCCAAAAATTAATTTTTGCAAGCTCTAACGGTTCAGTGTGGTGTGGGGTACCCCATGTAGTGTGGTGGATAGAGCAACAGATTAGGACTCAGGGGGCCTGGGGTCGATTCCTCACTCAGCCGTGGAAATTCACTGGGCAAGTGGAACTGCTAAAACTACACCTTAAACATCTCACCTTGAACGCCCTGTTAGGGTTGCTATAAATGGGTTCCAACCTGACCATACTGAACAACAATGGTTCAAAGGGAGTCAGTGACACCTTGGTAAGACATGATAGCCACATATGTTCAGCAACTCTGCTTGATATATGTGTTCTTGACTCTTATGACTGTACACTTTGTGTGGGAGGTGACTGAGAAATTGAAATGATTCTTGGACTGATCATCAATATTCAGCTAGAACAAAATGTCTTTGGGAACTCACCACCCATCAGTAAATTTCACACAGCAATTCCAAACTATATTCAGCTCCTCTGAATGGGCTTCGAACCAGCTGACTGACTGCACACATACGATATTTATATTTATACCAATTTCAGATATGTTTAGTTAGCATTTTTGTGGTTATATATATTTAGGCACAAACTTATACAGTACATAATTACCGTTATATATATAAATATGCACACATATATGTACATACCTATATATTTGCAATATAGGCATGCCACATAATCACACTTTATTTGTTATTCTTGCTGAATGGTTGAAGGATGATTTCCAGAGATGGAGCTGGTTGCAAACTGGTCTGTAGAAGCGTATGGCAGAATAAATATGTTAATCTTGAAGGTGCTAGAACAGTCTTTGTTTCAGAGCATAAAGGTCACTGAAGGAGGTGTAAAGATTGCATGCAGGCTGTTGGCCATGTGTTGCTCATTACTGTTTTGAACTAGTTTTTCTGTACTCTGTCAAGTACTCCTCTCTTCCTTAAATTAATGAAACAGTTATGTGGAGCAGGGTTTTTTTTGTTGTTGTTGTCTGAAACAGTTATGTGGAGCAGGGTTTTTTTGTTGTTGTTCTGTACATTTTGCCAAAGTATCCCAAAATACATTTCCATCATTCTCCGGAAAGCATAGGAATACTGTGTGCAGAGGTACTTTTATCTGTGCTGTGCCTTCCGTGTTGCTAATAAAATGGTTCCAGCTGCTATTGCCACACACACACACACACACACACACACACACACACGTGTAGAAAGTGATAGAGATGTGAGGAAGGACATACCCTGTCTTCATGTTTATCAAACATGCCTATCTTCAGATCTATAAATAATATCTAAAGAATATCATTTAATATCTATATAAACACAATAGCAGCCAACTACTAGAGCTTCAGCTAAAACCTTCCCATATAGTTTCCAGGCACACTAGAAGGCAAACCTCTTCCCTCTGGTCTGCCTGGAAAGACTTCGCCCGTCCTGCACCAGTCAGCCCAGTCACCATTGGCTGGCTCTCCCTTCTCTCTATGCCACCCCCACCCAAGTGTGAGGCAGCCTAGTATGGAGCAGGCAATGGACGGGATCCAGCTGGCTGTGGGGTGGAGAATCAGATGGGCAATGGGGGGGCAGGCAGTGTTGAGGTGATTCAGGTGGGGGGGATGATTGGAAACAGGGGCAAGTGACTCTGCTGGTGAGGGGGGCATTGGGTGGGCAGGGCGAGGTAAGTGCAGCGCTTTAGTATTTCCTAATTCCTGCTGTCCGGTTTAGCACTATATCAGATAGCAGGAATTTTTAAAAAGTGAATTCCAGATATGCCTCAAAGTAAAGGGACCTCTGTGGAGCAGAAAAAAGTGGAGCAGAAAAACTCACTCCCTTGTGAGGGAGCAGAAAAACTCACTCCCTTGGCACAGTCATTCATGCATTTGCATGCCTCATATGTAGGCTAAAGTCTAAATCAGGTTGCTTTCCCAAACTGATATAAAATGGGGGGGGGGTGTTTGTCAGTGGGATTGAGCCCTAAGTCCAATGTCACTGCTGTGACCATTACACCTTGTTCTCCTGACGGCAGTGCGCTCAGCTTCACTGGCACACTCAAACTCCTTCACCTGTTAAGGTGTGCATCTAAGAAAGGGATCGAGTTCATACATTCTCCCAAACCTTTTTTTTCATAACTCTAATATTTTCTGTACTGGGTTAAGAAGCTTCAAAGCTACAGATCAGTCCTTGATACTGAGCTAATTAGCAAAGAATGTTGTCATCTGAAATGAAAGGATGGGGGAGAGAAGTTAGTCCTTTCTTCAAAAAGGTTCAGGGCGATTCAACACCTGATTGGCACATCTTCACAAAAGATCTAGGAATGGGAATGATGGGTATAAAAATGGTGATAGAAGTTCTCTACTTTGGCCTGGTCTCTCTAAGGAAAAACAGGGTTCAGCTGCTGCTGTTTCCGGATTGGTACTCGGTTTATGCTCTGGACCTATGCTGAAATACTGTCAGAATGTGGGTATTAGCCTAGAGTATTTAGTTTTCTTGTGGGAAGTGTTCTGGAACTTTTCTTGCGTTAAATCTGTTGAATACTTATTTGTTCCTCAGGTTTTGAGGTGTTACTGTAACTTGAGAAACTGTATTAGAACTTCATTAAGTCTGATTTTTTCTTTCTACCTCTAATAATTTATTTAAAAAATCACAGCTGTTTGGTTATTTTGGGAAAAAGGGGGTTGTTTGTACTGAAGACAGGCCTTGCCTTGATTACCCACTGGGTGCTTGACATTTTATGGGTATTCCCCAGCCATAAGCATCTTTGACACTCTAAGAACTTACACCAGGAATATCTGACCAATGTTGCTTAGTGGTTAGTGTGGGACCTTCTGACCCAGCCAAACTGTTTCCAAACCAGTCCCTCAGATTCTTCAACCAATATCGCCCTCTCCTTTCTGTACCTCTTTTCCATTTATTTTATCTTAAATGTTACCTTGAATGCCTTGAAATAAACTTTTTGTTTATTACATGACTAAAGTATTCTAGCTTTCTGCATTTCATGTGTTTCATGATTTCTTGGTCTTAATTCATTTGCTTTTGTACCTCTTCATTGTTCACCCTGTCAGTGCAAGAAATTGTTAGGATCCTATAATGAATCTACATTTCAAATGCTTCTATCTTTTTTTAGGATTGCCTATATTGAAGTCCATAATTCTGGGTCATATAGTAGAATAGATAACACCATATGGTGCATGTTTACATTGTAGATTGGAGTTGTTGTTTGCTGACCTACTCATTACTATATATGTATTGCCTTCCAACCAGAATGTCATGGTGAACAATTTTCACATTACTTTTTTTCTCTGGGTATTCTTAAGCTATGGCATTAGGCATGGACCCTTTGGTCTTTTGGATGTCAGCCACCAAAATTCACTGCCAGAAAACCCCATCAAAGTCCTCAAGGAATTTTCAGTAACTCACAAGTGGGAAATGAAACCTCCATCCGCCATTTTGTCCTTGTGAAGAAGAGATGGGAAATGGGATATTTTGAGAAGCACCCTGTATAGAGCCTCATGGGCAGAGTGACAACCAGCCCTCTAACCCGTCCTGCCTCCCACAGAATTTAACCACTCCTAGCCATTTCCTCTTTCTTCTTCATGGCCAATGGGGGCTTCATTCCCCACCTTTAAAGAACTGAAAACTCCTGTGAAAAATTTTTAACTTTTTTTTGGCAGCAGCTTCCAGAATTCTGGTTGAAAGAACTCCGAGGTCCAAAACACCTTTAAAAGGCTCATGCCTATATGGCATGTAAGAAAGTAGCTAGTGGGTGTGGTTCTTTGAAATATAAACAGGCACACAGGTGCAGCCTATGCACATATATAAGTTCTTTAGAAATGTGTGCAAGGGAAATAATAATACAGGAGTTTGGAGGGTAATGCAGTGCCTTAATGACAGAGTACACGCATCACACAGAATTTCTCATCTCTGTTCCCTGTGATTTGCACTTTTAAAAAGAATTGTTTGTTGTAGGAGTGGGGAACAGCTTTGCCTAGGGCTGCAGAACTACCTTCTCCAGAGGCTGTCCTGAATTAGGATTGTGGAAGTTTAGCGTATGTGAAGGGCATTTGGGGAAGCTATCTTGGAGATCATCTAGCAATCTACACAGTATTGACTTAGATGGACCTGATACTTTGACTCTATACCTAAGCTACCTCCGTGTGTTCAGGCTCCCTTACAACAAGATTGGGTATACTTTGGTCTCTCAGATGTTTTAGCACACTGGTCCCCAACCTTGGGCCTCCAGATGTTCTTGAACTTCAACTCCCAGAATTCCTGGCCAGCAGAGGTAGTGGTGAAAGCTTCTGGGAGCGGTAGTCCAAGAACATCTGGAGGCCCAAGGTTGGGGACCAGTGTTTTAGCATATTGATCCTGGAATCTCTAACCATTGGCCACACTCATGGGGATTGTGGGTCAAGATACCTGGAGGGCCAGATAAACTTCATTAAAAAATGGGAGCAATTGTTCTAGATTTTTAAGTTGATTTGAACATTTTCCCTTCTCTTTGTCACTCCAGGTGTTCCATGCCTGCCAGAAAGTCTGAGTCTTCATAAAGATCCACAAAGGTCAAATAAGCCAGGGGAGGTCCAGATGTTTAGCCAATCTGAGTTACGAACCATAGAACAATCTTTGCTTGCAACGCGGGTAGGAAGCATTGCAGAACTCAGTAAGTACTCAAAATAATTCATAACCTTTCCCTCTTTTACATTTATGAGCAGTTGTGCTCCAGTGTACAGAAAATGTGCAGGAAGACATCAGGCAACTTTATATTCTGTTGGCAAAGTTGTTTGTGATACAAGCTTGAATTGGCGTTTTGACCACTTTGCAATATAAGAAAGCCAAATGATTTAAACTTACTCTTGGCTTTATTACCATATTGGGAGCTAGTCAGACTTTACAAACATGCACCTACGAGTACAAATGTTACTGCTCTATGTGTGTGTGGTATTAGAGGAAGCAAAACAACATGCAGCGAAAGTTATGTGCCCGAACTCTAAATTCCAGTCTCTCAAAGCTGCTCATTACTTTAAAAAACACTACTAGGTTTGTATGTATGTATGTAACATGTAGTTAGTCCATTAAGCTCCCATTCATACTTGTTTGTACATGATGAATTTGAAATGAAAAGCTGTCAGCCTTTTATCACAATGTGTTTCCTCTATTTGTGTTTTAGCTGTTACCCTGCTGCTTCATTGCTTGCCATTTCCCATTAACAAAGAAAGATGGGGGAGAGGACATCTAAGGGGTATTGTGGCAACTGTCAGTGAGTTCCCTATTTTAGGATTATAGCCGACAAAACACAGAATCAACAAAACAGTGCTGTAGGAAAGGTGGAAAACTGTCCCAATCCAACAGCAGGTCCAGTTACCTCTCTCCTATAAAAGTTACAGGTACCTGCAAATCTATCCTGAATCAGGGAATGTTTGGACCACATGAAGGCGTCTATAAAGATTTCCCCTTCTATGAGCTTTCTGTCCACTACAGAAAATCTGTTCCAAAGTCTTCTCCAACTTGTTTGCTGGACACTGCATGAAAGTAATGCAAAACAGAAAGTGAAGGCTGAGCTAAGTGTTTTCATATGAGAACATTTGTTTTGATTTTCTTGGGTACCACATGTGAAGAAGGGGACTGAAAGCCATAATGGGTTTGGGAAGTGGGATAGTGTAAGGGGTGAAACCAAAGCCTGCAAAAGTTATTCTTTTGGATGACAACTACTAGAATCTGCAGGCTTTTCCAAATGCTTTACCAGTTTGAATAATATCTTTTGCTTCCTGCTATTTCCCAAGAGCCTTTGGAAGTAATGTCTTGTTATGGAGGCTTTGGAGAAAAAAAAGGTGAATGACAGTCATCTGTAGGACATTGTGATGGCAGCAGTGAGCTTCTCCATTTTATTTAGCTTCCTCAAACTCAGAAAAAAATTCAACCAGAATCTCCCTCCCCTGTTAACCATGGGGAGGGGGCATTTGGATCCAGCTTATGTTCACACAGAAGAAGAAGGGGGTGGGGAGAGGGAAAGCTTTTGGCACACCTCTTATAAATAGAAGCAAGAGCAGAGCATTGGTCTAATTTTTCACTCAGTGCTCCTCCTCCTTCTAATTGTCATTGAATAACTTCAGAAGACTTCCTTCATCATTGAACCACCTATTCACTGATGTGCTGATTCTACACTTCTTAAAATAGGCAAATGAAGAGGCATGTTCTGTCAGAAGCTGCTGCTGCTGTCTCTCGACATGCTGATAATAGCAGTGCTATTCTGTCCAAAATATTCAGAATGTATTTACAGGCTGTGCTTTCTTGGAGAGTTTTTATTCCTTTAGGCATGTTAATCCAACCGAACCAGAGGCTTGGGTGAGAAAGCAGCATTGCAAATTAATGGAGCACTTCTGCTTCTATCTTGAAGCATCCTTCACTAGGATTGTTCCATTTTGTACTGCCTCTGCTCCCGTCTGTTTCACCCTGGCTCGACAAAAGGATATTTTTACAGGTGGTGCTTTTCATAGCCTGGCTGTAAATTGTAAGAAAGGCTTTACCTATTCATTTTTTGCACACTGGGCTGCTTGTTAAAGGATCCAGGACCAGAACTAGCCTTTATCCTCAAAGTCCTCTATGACCTTGCAGTTTCTTGTGTTTCTGTGCTTATATCCCAATGCATCCTTACCTGAGGTTCAGAAAGTTGCTCTGAATTCAGAATTCCCCAATTTTTGCTGGCCCAAAATTCTGAGAGTTGTACTGTACTCCAGAATAACTCTTCCACACTCTGATCTCTGTTTCTTCAGCTCCAGCATCCTCAGTTGTCCAAGGGTTTACTGCTCCTTCAAAATTTTCCCCTCCTTTTCTGCCCCATATTCTTGGAATGTCCTAGAACATCTACAGTACATGGTGCTGTGTCTTTTGCTTCCTTCAATTTTTTCCCCTGAAAACCCATATTTTCTATGAAGCTTTTGGCACGACATTTGATTTCTGTGTCATATTGAAGTTCCACTTGTCAAGCCAAAGCACACAAAAGTGAAATGACCACGTACTGCTTTCCTTAGGTCTTCCAACTTCACTTACTTTCCCTTTCTCTATTGTTTCACTTGTGTCTAATTTTAGACCGTAAAATCTTTGGGTTAGGAGCTTCTTTTCTTCCATATACTAAAGCACCAAATGCAAGACATTGTCCTTTGCAAATCTCAGAATGTCCACTTTTACTTTCAGTACAATTTAATGGACAATTTAGTAGTTTTAGCTTGTTTTGGTTGTTTTGTTTTTGAACCATGACAGGATGCAACTTTCAAAGTGAATGAATGAAGAGTAAGAGATCATTAGCTTCTGGCAACCTTGGGCAACATCTGGACACCCAGTGCATTTGCAGTTTCCACCACTGATATGGGTTGCAGGTGGAGCCTCTTGAAAAAGAAATCTGACCTAGTGCTCTGAACAGCAAAGACTAGTTGTCATTTTAATTTTCTACAATACCTCCAATGTGGCATCACCTAGATGGGACACTGTATTGAATTAAAATGGAGATTCCCAGCCTCTCAGACTGCTATGTCAGCTACTCCTATCTACCACTTCTAGGCAAACCCATTTTAGACCTATCCGCACAGGCGGCTGTCTATCAGACAATTCTTTTACCTGCAGCTCATCCATATTAGAACTAGAGTGAATTGCTGGTATGGAAAGCTGGTGGGGCCACCTTTTTTGGGAGGTTCCAACTTTAAGTATCATTTTTCTCTTTTGGTGTACTTGCTAACCTGCCAGAACCATTCATCTTCCAGAATCTGTGTCCCATTTCACCTTCATAGTAGCTTTTCTTTTGCTAAACAGTAGATTATTCACACAGTGAGGTTTGGATTTGGGCACAGGCTAAGAAAGCTACAGTTTAAGCCTTAAGGCCTCTGGTTCCAAGGAGTTTCTAAATGCAGCCCCTCCTCCCACAAGCCTTTCAATAATAATACTGCACATTTTTGTCAGTGCTGTGATGCTTCTTAAACATGACAACACTTGAGGACTTAAGTGATTAATCTGCTTGCAGTCATTTAAGAAGGTGGTTCTGGCTAGCTATAGCTGTTGACCTGCAGAATAGCTTGTCTGGTTTGTTTCTATCTAGCAGACAAAAGTGCTTCCTTACCACATATACAGATTACAACTCATCATCTAAACAAGATATTACACCTGAATTTCGAAATAGAGATTCCTTCCTCAAGATGATTGGCACTTTATAGTCTCCTCCTTGGCAGATATTTTTCATGTCCATTTATGGCTGTTTCTAAAGTGATACAGTTTCATGGTATAATGATATCCGATCTAGAGAATTGCACACAATAGACAAAATATTGAGATGCAGATCTTACAGGAAAACGTATTTTATTCCATTGGGGAAAGAACCAAAAACTAAACTACACTCAGAAATATCATATGCAGAGCCCACTGCAGACTGTATCAAGCCAAATTACAGATGAAAGTATCGCATTCCTGCATGTTTGGCTATCACAAACTACCCTTCTGTGCAGGGAAAGCAAACATATTCAGGAAATCGTTTTCATCTAGTGTTCCTCCAGAATTAATAACTTTCCCCCCTAAATATACATGAAGTTTTTATAATGTGTATGTTGGGGGGTGCTGAATCTCCCTCCTCTTTCATCTTGGTATAAATCAGGGGGAGCTGCACTTTGACAAGAACAATCCAGGAAGAACGTAAGAAGTCAGCCTGACTTAAACTCCTAATAAAAAGTGACAGGCAGGTTAGATACAGAGATAAGCCAGAATTCTTTTAAACATGGGCTTATGGGGGGCAGTGCAGAATGCTGACAAATACATGATAAACCCTGACATCATTATTTAATGATTTGTGAATCTTTAATGTGGTGTTGAGTAAATTAATGAATGAGTTAAACTAATTAATAGTTTTATCTGTATTGTTTTTCTCATTTTTTTTCTCAGATCATAGTTAAGGTTGTTGTACTAAAAATGTTCAATTCTTAATTCTTTTGGTTTAGGGCAGTTTATTTCACCTATTATTATGCTGGTTTAGCTTTATAGTCAATGGATGGTTCCTCTCTTTTGGCCAGTGTATGCTGTCTGACCTTGTTTATGTTTTACATATTTCTTTTATTACTGGAATCAATAATCAGAGGAACAGATGTGTATCAAGAAGGATATGCAGCCATAATAATTTGCTCTTCCTACCTTAGTATTCTTCTTCTTTCCATATATGCTCAATCCTTGATTGAGGACCTGCTGTTGCTAGGCAACCCCATAATAGGAAATGGTCCCTTGTTCGGATTGCTTTGGTTCTAAACAAACAAGAGGAAAAATGGAAAGGGAAACAGAGGCATATAATAAGGATTGGGATTAACAATCAAGACTCCCAGGACCCAAGACAGTGTTCTGTAAGAGTTCTATGTTGCACCTCAGACCAGGCATATTTCACATTTTTAGTTATAAACTATTTGTCACATAACCTTTGTAGGATATTGATCAGTTTTGAGTACAAGTATACTTATCTCTCTAAAATTTGTAATTTCAACCAAGTGCATTATATAAAATAGGGGAAAAATCAAATTATGCCTTACAACTGGCATGGGAAATGACGGAGCATACTTGACACCATAAAATCAACATGAAATATTTACTAAGGTTTAGAACTGATCTAGATCAGTCGTTCATTCACGGCTCAGCTTT